CCAGGTAATACTTTTTAAAAGGGATACAGTCAGTCATCTAACTATTTGTTTTGATAGTCCATACATACTCTAGTGGTAATTGAAAAAAACGAAAAAATGTTGCTATGTAAACAAAAACCTGTAGATTTGTGTCCAATGGGAGAATGGATTACCCAACAGATCTTGTGCTTTTGTTTCCTGCACACATATGACCCAGTCCAAGTTGTCTTCATACATTGATATTATAAAATAATATGGCCTCACCTTTGATGCTATAAACTGCTAATTTTCGGGGATGTAAAACTGCTAGCTGATTACTTTCTGTCACTCTGAAAACAAAACACAACATTGTCATAATATCAACAAAGTCTGCATGAAGGAATGATAATATCAGCATAGATACTTAAACTGTATCACTTATGATAGTACTTGTATTCATTTGTAGATAAACTGAACGCATATTTTCATTCTGAAAAGCGATGCACATAGCTAAAATAGCTGGACAATTATATAACTCTAAGACTGTCATTTTTTAATATAATATTTCCAATATTAAGCCAACATTTTGAGAAGAATTTTCAGTCATCCCATGATGCTCTTTGTCACCCAATATTCTGAGTTTAAACACAACTGAATCACCTAACCTAGTCATTTTAATATCCATAATTCAGTAATAGAATCGTTTTGAAAATTTTTTCCTACAACGGTCAGCAATCAGTAGTCTTGAAACGGTTAGTGAATTTTACGAGCCGGGTAATCGTCGGCAATAACCTTTTGTTACCCGGTTAATCCCGGTTAATTACTAAAGATTATAAAAGGGGTCGAAAACCGCATTTGTGGCGGTAACTCACCATTTGAGCGTCTGCTTCAATGTAAGATTACGAGCAGGCCTGACAGAGTTCAGACGACTGGTGCCATTGTCACTCATTGCTACAGTCTCTAACAGATCAAAGGCTTTTATACCAGTTGTAGGGTCAGTGTTATGAGTGTATCTCATTGAAATCGCCGCGAATCAGTGTACCGGTATTGGTCTCTTTTTACTTCTTATAAAATTGACAGTTAACCAGACCCAGTTACCCGTGAAATACTACCCGAAATCAGTTAACTGATTAACCATTTCAACACTAGCAATCAGCATGGACATTGTCTAAACATTGCCTGAACTACTTACGAAGAAAATTTGCCCACTTCAACTTGAAGAATGGGTTGTTGAAAAGCCTGTTCTACAATAACATCTTCTGTTTTAAATCCACTCCACCCTGACTCAGTTTTCTTAGGATGAGGATTGTAGATTCTCAGAATTCCATGGAAACTTCCAATTATAATTTTATCTGAAATATAATGGAGTATTTTGCTGTATCGGCCTGTACAATATTGGGCTAATGAAATGAAATGGAGTTTTTTTATCCAACTGTTCTGTACATTAATGAAATGAAATTGAATTTTATCTCCTAATGTTCTGATTATTGAAATGAAATGGTGTTTTATATTCTACTGTTCTGTAACTTATTGCGTTAATGAAATGAAATGGAGTTTTTTATCCTAATGTTCTGTACATTAATGAAATGAAATAGAGTTTTATATCCTAATGTTCTGTACATTAATGAAATGAAATGGAGTTTTTTATCCTAATGTTCTGTACATTAATGAAATGAAATAGAGTTTTATATCCTAATGTTCTGTACATTAATGAAATGAAATAGAGTTTTTTATCCTAATGTTCTGTACATTAATGAAATGAAATGGAGTTTTTTATCCTACTGTTCTGTACCTTACTGGACTAATGAAATGAAATGGTGTTTTATATCCTACTGTTCTGTAACTTATTGCGTTAATGAAATGAAATGGAGTTTTATATCCTACTGTTCTGTACCTTACTGGACTAATGAAATGAAATGGTGTTTTATATCCTACTG